GCGGTGGGTGGTGATGTCTAGCTGCCTTCCAGCTAGTCTTACACTGTTAAATTAGGGACGGCTAGCGCAGATAGCCCTCGTGTAGCTTTGCGCGAAATTCCAAAAAACAAACAAACAAACTTCTTCAGCCCCTTTTAGTTAATTAGTATAATCAACCACTCTCTCAGCTAGCCAAACAACTCAACTTACTTTGTAATTTACAATCAAAGACAGTATTGAGAAACTTAAGCAAACACATTATCTCTGTGGCTTCAATGTCAAATTAAACCTTTAATTTTACAATGTATTATTTGAAGTATGAAATTTTCCTTTTTTTTTTCTATAGAATACCTACAATTGTATTTTTCTTATGTTTATTATATTGAAGCAATTAATTTATATTCTATAGTAACTGGAGTACCCGTCCACTGTACGGAAGTTATGTAAATTCATGATTAATGAAAGGTTAGCTTAGGACATGAAATGTTGCTTCCCTTGTACGTAATTGCAATAAACGCCCATAAAAACTGAAAAACTCAAGATGTGAAACTGCAACTTTGCATGTATCTCCGCATGGACTCAACAAACATTCATGCTAAATTTGGTGAAGATTCATCAACGTGGAAGGGGGGGGAGAAGTAGTGGTGACAAACGTTCATAAAAACTACAAAATGCAAAACTGAAATTTTGAATGGACCTAATGAACCTCCAAACCAATTTTGGTGAAGATCCATCCACATCCCGCGAAGTAGTTACATGGACATACAACAGACAGTACTATTATATTTATATAGATACTAAAAAAGGTTAAGGTGCAATACACCCAGCCGTTTTTGCTGTAGGCTAGCAAAGGAAAGAATAATATTAATATGAACAGTTTTTTGTAGCAGTTTTGGGTGGACTTTAGATTCGTTATACGTATCTGTTAGTTTATTTTTCCCGAAGTTTTAAACGTGTATAGCCTTTAGTGTTGTAAAGATTTTTAGCAATGTTTTAGGAACGATTTTGCTTTCTAAAATGGTTATCGCCGGGCGTTGTGTCAGTGTTTTGTCAAAATCAGGCCATTCTCTATCGTGGTTCATGATTCGAGAGCTATCACAAAATGCGATGATAATCTGAATTTACTTTGTTTGAAATATTTTTGTCTTCAATCTTTATATGACATAATTTAGTTTAGGACACATACATTTTTACCCTGTCGTTAAGAATTATTTTAATTTAATGGTATTTTTAAATAATGTTCCAAAAATAATCTAACTTTCAACATGTAAAAATATTAATAATCTTGAACACTGTTAATTAATCTGTTTCTCAGTGTTAAATCATGTACAAGTTCAAAATATAGGAAACAGTGATTCAACAATTGAGATCAGTTAAACGAATATCTTTATTGTTGAGAAATCATTATTTAACATACTTAAACAGGAAAACGGGCATATATATAATGTAACTGAAGGTGACGGTTGACAACTTTGAATAACTTTCACTTATAATATCTACCTAACCAGAACCAAAGAATAGGAAAAAAACGTGAATATCAATGGTACTCGCATGAAATAGTGCACGAATTTAACGTGATTATTAATGGTCGATGTGAGTTTAAATTCAGAAATTTTCAGTCTGTTGAAAACACTTTATTCAACAAAATGTTTGCAACTTTTTTGTTTGTATAAATTGTAGTTCATCAAATTACCTTTCGCTTTACTATCTCGGATTCTTTAAGATGAATCATTTCAATAATTGCTTGGTTCACACAGCTGGTTACATGTGTAGTAACATCCGCCCCCCAGTGGCACAGCGGTATGTCTGTGGAC